GATACATTGCAGTCTCACTTTTCTAAATCAGCTCCAGCCCTACTTGACTCTGTGTTGCTCATGTGGAGAAAAAACCCAGACGTCACTTTCTGGGCAATAATCTGAGTTTGTAAACTCTGCTTCCTCTGAAAGCCCATGTGAGTACACCCACCTTTATCCTTCAACATTCTGCTAAAGTTGACTGGTGCTTCTCTTCAAAACCCTCCACCATCATTTCCTGACACATCAGTAACATTTTCTACATCAAAAAATCCTCTTGAATGCCTCCATCTTGCATTCATTGTTTTACCCCAACAGAGGAGTGACAATTAAAATCAGTGCCTGGGTGTAGTTTCCCATTTTCAACCATTTTCTGGACGCATTTACTTTCCAGTATTTTAAAATTAGAGAAAGACATTTCTTACTTTCTTGGTCCATTACAGATGTGTGCCTATACCTGAAACCTAGGCTTCTCATTTTTGGTGGTTTTATTTTAAAAGATGAGTTTCTGCACTTCACAGGCAGCCTGCAAATACATGTGATTGCTCAAATGCACAGAGAGATGAGATTTTTAAAAGAGTGCTATACTTCAAATGAGATTGCACCAAGTAGACACAGCTTTGCAACAAGGTGAAGTTGGGGGGGGGTTCTCGACCTTCCATCAGATGAGGCTTGTTAAAGTATGTGGATACATTATCATGAATAATTTGTGCGGCCAGATGAGTTTTTGTAAATTTGAAATAATTAGGTGTTCACTGTTTTGTCCCCACCAGCTCACCTCTAAACAAATATGATTCAATCTGATATAAATCATACAAAGCATACTTTACCAGAGTCAGTTCCTTGCTCGCCCAGTCTAACTTTACAAAATAGCTTCAAAAATGAATTATTCATTTTATTACAGTTAAATTGAATTGCATTAGGTTGACCAACTACCTGTGATATAGTGTCTACTTCTTCGTGAATAAATAGACATGGACGGCAATTTTGAGCCTTGTGCGTTGTTTGCTACCCTGCATTTCACTTGTTTCATCATGTATTACAACACCTCATTTTGCCATGTGAATGATTAGAGAGATCTAGATAGGTTGGCGCTATTTCTCCGTGACGTCCACTGGGACAGCACTTCTGATGAAGGGCTCTATAAATAAATTAGCTTGAATTTAATGTGATTTTCATCTCACACTTCCTGTGTCCACACCACAGCCACTTACTGTAATATGTGGGCTGATCAAAAAGTGAAAATATTCAGAACACACAGCCTTGTGTAAAGAAAACCTGCCCTTCAGTTGTTGGCATCTCATAATATCACTTGAATCCATCTCTTTTTTAATAAAGTGCAGTGATAGAAATCAGATGTTGGTCACACAGATAGGTCTGATGTTGTCTTCATAGAAAAACAAATCCATCTGATTCCTGAGAATGTTTCTTGTGTGATAATAAATAGGGAGAATAGCATCATACTGTGCAACTCACCATGCATATCAGAAATAATGAGCAGGTTCTGTTATCTGATATTTTGAAAGTAATTTTCTTTCCTCTATCTGTTGGTTGAAAGTGAGAGAATTCATGGTTTGGGGTTATATTAGGGTTAATTATTTCCACAACAAACAATACATCTGTACATGTCTGTATCTGTAGCTGGTTGTGTTTATAGTCACACACACTATTCAAGCAAACAACCTAACACAGGGCACCATATTGACTTTATATTTATTTCATTGGTGCTTAAGGTTTTTTTTTTAATGAAATGAATAGACTTTTTCAGGCTCCTGTACAACAATCAGCCGTGTGCAGCAGTTAAACACGAGTTAACTAAGAGATCCTGTGTCTCAGGGGAAATTTCCTCTTTCATGTAAGCCCCCCCACACACAGAGAGTTCAGAATAAAGGGTCAGCTCCCCCACTCCATATGAAAGGTGAATTTGTGTCCACCATTTCAACCATTTAATGGAGGGATTGTGAGACTATCAGGGGGTCACTCTCAGAGCAGCACCTCTTGAAGCTACTGCTCTGAGGAAGGGATTCTTTTCCAGTCTTCGTATCAACCTGTGGGCAAAATATTATATAATATAATTTAAAGGCTTGATTTGAGAGGAGGGTTTAAATTTGATGTAATTATTTACTTATCTTTTCTGTGTTGTCACTTACATGTCGAGTGTGTGGTTTGTTGATTAATGGCCGCTGTCTCCAGAGCTGAGGAACTTACAGCGGTAGTGTCTTTGCCTCTCATCACTTTGGACCTCACAGTGATGATTATAGGATAACCTCTAGCACGGTAATTAATCAGCCCAGAAGAAGCCCATTCATTCAGACTAAATGTGACAGCTGCTTGGCTGGGTGGATCATTCAATGGGAGGATTATAGGTACCTAATACCAACCTCAAAGTGTCCCTGAGGCTGGCTCCGATTCAACAGAAATCAATACAAGTTGCAGGTCTAACACCTGCAGGTATATATGGTTTGTCAATTAAATGTGTCAGCAGCTTTAAAGTTGCCTCCCTGACAACATTTTGTGAAAACATCCGTTCACAAGGACATGTTGTCTTTTCCAGAAGTGCCCTTTACAGAGCAGCAGTCAAAAGTGAAACCAGAGAGGAGACTACTCACCAATGACACTCACACATCAAGCAGTACTACACTGAAAACAAGCTCATCTTTGAATCTGCCCTTCACGGTGACTGCTGGTATATCATTTTTATGTTTCAATCCATTTTTATTGTGTTCAACTCTACACTGTGCATGTTTTGCCATTTCTGAGATTTAATTCACGTGTTTCTCTGATCAGAGGGAAATTTAAAGTACTGTCAAAGTTGTAATATTTTCCATAGAGACCTGCTGTGTGAGCTCAAATACATAAGTGAAAAGTTGGTCATGACTTTAGGGCTGTAACAGTGTTGTTTTTATTATTGAGTATTTGTCAGATTATTGCCAAGAGCTCGTCACAGTTTGACAGTTCATGTATTGTGACATTTACCGGTTATGGATTTTTGGTTGAAGACTGAGATAAACTGACTTATTTCTATAAGACTAAACAACAGCACAGAATTATCAGTAATATAATCTTTGATTTTTCTAAAGATTCTTAAAAAACGCAGGAGATTTTCACTTGACAGGGATAATATTTGGCTGAGAACAATCAGTTTTAATCTGTTCAAGTATTGACTGAAGCATACACATTTTCTGTTGATCAACTTCACTGATTGAGGGACTTTTGGGACTGTTCCAATCTGTACCAACTTGGTTGCTGAAAGTCCCACATAGAGTTTATCGACTTTCAGTAGATTCTCTTAGGTTACTATGAGTTATTAAACGAGCAGAAAAAGTGAGAAAACACTTTTCATCATGTCGATGTAACTATAATACAGAAAAGGCCCTTCTCATATTGCAAACAACAAAAGTACCTTTTTTCACTGTGGCAGGTCTCTTAGCTGAGATGAATGGGCAGCATGCTCCTGCATTGATCATCTCGCAGCCATAAACGGCTGCTGCTGAGGACACAGGACCAGGAGGTGGTCTGTCGTTACATCTGGATTGCAGAGGGGAGGGTAATTGGGTGCTGCTGATGCTCATTGTCTGACAAAATAAATTGGAACAAATTATTTTTTACCCACGCATGTTTTCAATGTGCACTGATATGCATTGCAGTTGAAAATAATCTCGGTTGAAAGCTTTTTCTTTCAAAAGCCGGCATGCAGCTGTCAATTCAATCTACAAATTTGTTCCTGTCTACCATGCTCAGTAATGGAGGTGTGTGATAACAGCTACGACTACAAAGACGACGATTCAATTGCAATTTGCAATTTTTGCTCTGAAGACTCAGTGCCTGTGGATAATGCGGCAAACGAAGAAGTTTCTCTGTGTTTTCTTCCCATAATATACTTAAAAAGAAACATGTTGCAGTCACCCAGGAGAAATATGGGAAAAATGCTCATTTACATTACATCTATTTTATCATCGCTGACAATGATACCTTCGCTCTGGCAGCCTGTTGTGTTTGACAATTAAACGCTTTTATTATCAAATATTCATCCGGAAATGATGATTCTGAAAATACTCTGAAGACACAATCAAGAACTTCAGTGGAAGTAAAAGGCCTGACATTCCTTCAGATGCTGCAGCTTTCATGTGCATTTAGTGGGTCGTCAGTAACTGCGAGGTTGTGAGATAAATAATAAAAAAGAGTTGATCTTAAAGAGTAGGAGGATGACTTGCAGGAAATGACAAGTCCGACTGCTTCAGAGACACAGTCTGGGAAAAAATAACCAGCTGGTAGACACACAAAATCCAGATGCTGCTGCACTGAGTACACTCCTGCAGATATGAGAATTAGGCGTGCTACTTTGAGAGTGAACATGGGCAAAATCCTCCTCACAATGGCTGCATTTTAAGCTTTTTTCCATGTAGCTGTGCCATTTAATGAGCCTCTATTCTTCTCCTGGGCCACAGAAATAAAAAGAACCCACACCAGAAGCATAATAAAACCTTTTCATACAAACTCTGGGAGTGAAATTCCCAGTTTGGTAGAGAAAAGCCACCACTTTTGCGTCACCAGGTTAAACTGCTGCTCCTCGAGTTCACTTTGTCTGCAGTATTTTCCCTTGGAGCGCTTCTGCTGTAATTAGTCCGCCTGCTATCTTTTCCTGCGCTGGTCTAATTACAGACGCATATGCGATGAGAGCAGCCTCCTCTCTGCATCCTGTGCGTCTCACAGAGAGCTGGACCAGAGCCAGACCCATAACATGACCCCACAACCACACCGTGATTTCTCACGGAGCCCCGCTGCCTCTATCTCGTGGTTTGGTCCAGTATTGCAGCTTCGTTTTCAAAAGCTCTCTCCAAAAAGTGTCGTGCAAATATGAAAAAAAAAGCAAATCAACACTGTAAGATCAAGTATCAAGTGTGTGCAGTGTTGGTGTGGCGCATATGTCTTGTGCCAGCAGAAATGTGTTGGGAGCCTGTGCGCCCTGCTCCGTGGATAAGGTCAGATCCACTCTCGCTGTGAGCCAGTGCGCAGCGGGGACGAGTGCAGCGGGGAGGCTGTCAGTCCTCACCCTCCCTCCCATTGGCTGCAGCAGGATGCTCGGTGTCTCTCCTTCCTCCTCGATCCTCAGATGCAGCTGGAGCCGCCGCAGGTTCGCAATGGAACGGGAAGCTTCACCTGTAGATGTTTGACATTACCTGCGTAGAAATTAACCTACAAAGGTGCATCTGAGGTAAAGGCTCGGCGCTTTCGGATCTTGCAGCGACTGGAATTAACTTCACCCCCCCAGTTCCTTTTGTTTTTGTGCGGGCGGCTGTCGCCCTGTGCTCCGGTGTCACGGGATAGCGCAGGCTGCATGGAGGGATGTCGGCATGGCTTGCACCAGGAGAACCAAAACTTTGGTGTCCACATGCGTGATCCTGAGCGGCATGACCAACATCGTGTGCCTGCTCTATGTGGGATGGGTAACTAATTACATCGCCAACATTTACATCAAAGTGCCCATGCCTCTGCCAGAGAGAAAGTTAGAGGGGGACAAAAGAGGCGACACTCTCCGGATCATGGAGAGGCTCGATCGGCTGGAGAATGTGGTCAACCAGCACATACAAGGTAAAGCCATCCATTAACCAGTTTAACTCAAAAGAAACTGGGCACTGCCACGTTAAGTGTCACTAACACATTTGACTTTAAGGGTGAATTAATACGGTTTATAGCGTGAGATGGATATGGCAGGAACTTCATCTAAGCCTGGGTATGTGGAAGGTGCGATAGAGGACAAAGCTGCATGTCCCCATGAGAAGTATCACACAGAGGCGTGTTTGATAAAGATGCTGCTTACAGGAGTTGAATAGATAGAAGCATACTGCAATTTAACAATATTTATAGTATCTTTGCCATTCATTTATATGGTTGAGTTCTCTGCAAAGTAGATATCACCCATCTTCTGATTTACAGACTATGAATGACTTTGCCGTTCACTCTGTTAAATTCATTTTTACAGTTAATTGATGCAGGTTTGGTTGAAATCATGTTCTGTGCCCCCTGCGTCTTTTACCACACTCCACTTTAACATGCATGAAGCATCCTCCTTCTTTATTAAGATCCAATGACGTGATAAAGTTAGATGCAGCAGCAAGTGTTTCAGTATAATTTCGTATCTGACTGAACTGGGTTTACAAATGAAGCTGTCAGAGCTACTTATCTGCACCTCGTACGTAATTTGCCTTGAACTTGGTCTTTTAGGAATGTCTGGAATCCTTTTTTTCTCTAATTCCTTCTTGCCTTTTCCCTCGACTCGCCGTGTACAGTTACTTCACGCTCCATCGCACACTGCTAATTTCTGTCTGTGTCTTTACAGGAGCTATTCTTGTCATCACATGAGAGAGAGACAGGAGGGGGGGTCATTTTTTTTGGCAGGTCCTGATTTCATACAGCACAATGGTGGTGCAGAGGAATTAAAAGCAGACAGAAATCTTCACATGCTCCTTTTGAGCGCTATGGTTTGATGCTAAGCTTGGGTTAACATTCCTCCTGGAGGCAGGTCTCCATTTCACCTTGGCGCCCACAGGCCTCTGTGGGGTGGAGCTTTGTTCAGATGCCCCAGGTGACTCTGGAGTACGTGTTTCTACTATTTCTGTGCTTAAAACAATCAGCATTGTTTGTGAAATGTTTTGACGATTGAATTTTAGGCATGCATTACACTTCATCATAAAATCAAAGATAATTATGAAAAAGTTACTTATAAATCTTATATAGTAAATAAAAAAAACAAAGCAAAATGTGTCCAGGGTCTCAAGAAACAAGCAGCATTTATTTCAGCATTTATTTCAAGTAGAGGAACAGGTCTTTGTGTCTAACTCTCCACCAGAAAGAGAAACGGGTGATAAGCCCAAATGTCGAGCACTTCCCCTTAAAAACGAGCTGTGGCACATTGTCTTCTTATGTCACTTTTAAAACTAGGACACTCATTCTGTAATTAGTTTGGGAAAAAATAGAGTCATGCATATCAAACATCTTCACTTCTTCTGCACTCAGTCTCTCATGAGCTCAAACACAGTTAGCCAGCATCATTAACGGCTGCTGTGTGGTGTTTGTACTCATTTTAGTTGAGGAACCTGCATGTCTCCAGGCCCCTGACATGAACTGCAGTGACATGACAGAGATCACATTAATATCACAAGTGAGTCTCTGTGCTTGTAATTTATTTTAGAGATTTGGAGCGCAGCACCGTTGTTGAGTCTTTTCCATGGAGCCGATGCTAGAAGAGACTGTTGATGTCATATTTGCAACACTTAAAACTACTTCCGACAAAATTACCTGTCACTTCAAGTATGAATCATGTTTTCTGGATTTCCCTGATAATTGCTACGAATGAGACCGCTGCAAATCAACACCCATAATCTGAGAGTCTGTAAAGGGCTGATGGCATCAACAGCCAGTGAGCCACAGAGTCATTAGTGCACTTTTGACATCTCTTAAAATGTTTCCTTCTTAAATCATGTTGTGGGACAAGTGCAGAAATTCTAATCTAATCGCTTCAGTGCTTTTACTCACAAAATCACTTGGCCTGTCACAATAACTATTTTTGTTGGATGATATATTGTCCTAAAAATAATGGAGATCAAAGATAATATTGTCCTTTTAAGACCTTTTTGTGCCCCACAGTCTCAGTGTTCAGAGTTCAGTGTACAAAGTCTGTTTCAGTCTCAACCACAAGCAAAACACAATCCAGTTCAATCAGGGCTAAAACAAATACAACAAAAATTGTTCGCTGCAGGTTTTACCACAGATTTTCTCAAATTAACACTCTCCAGTTCAATACAACTATGTTTCTATATACAATATGTACAGGGCACTCACGGTGAAGTAGAAGGTCAAGTCGGTTAGTCAGTCGGGCATATGGCGTTGGCCTTTAACCGGTAGCTCCACAGGGAATAAACAATCCACTGGATGATTTCCTCCTGACTGATCCCAACACTCAAACTTAACAAGACACTTTTGCAACGGTAAAACAGATGACCCTCTCCCACTAATCTCTCCAAACATCTTTACTCATTGCTCTCAGGTCTCTTCTGTATAGTGGTTCAGAGTACGCGGGGCTGTGGTTGTGATTGGATTATTGACAGATTGTGGATGTGACTGCGGAACACAGGAATGAATGAACTCTCTGATAGGGGTTGTGCTGACGTGATCCAACGCTGGTCGCTATACAGTAAACAAACGGGAAGTATTGAGGTGGGCAAAATGAATAGTGGTCGTGTCCATATATTGTACGATAAGTCAATAACGTAATTCTCGCGACATGCCAGGTGTGTGTGATACAACAAACAATAGAATTTGCCATCACTTAGAAGATACATGGTATGACCACTCAAAGCACATTGCAGTACAGTTTGCAATTCACCCATTCACACACATTCATACAGTGCAAGGGCAGCCCACACATAAGGTTCTTTGTGTTCTTCCACACAATATGGATGCAGGAAAGAAATGTGCATGATGGCAACGCACATAGAGGCAAGTTAACGTGGCACTGAGGACTCCGAGACAGCCAAGACTAAATGCAGAGCTCGTACCTGAAAGAGGACCTACTTTCTCACATAGACCTCGTTTAACACAGGACAGAAATCTGTGCTTTGCAAACTATGCTGCCGACGTGTCCCCACAAGAGACTGAAAGTAACCTCTTTTACCACCTACACAAGAATCATGTCAAACAGTACAGAGAGAGTCACAGCAGTTCAGTCGAGTGCTCAAAACTAACTCCAATCCCTGACTTTACAAGAGGCTAAATGGCAAGTATGAATCATCAAGATGGAAGGAAACTCTGAAAGAAGGAAAGTCTGCACAGAGGTGGACGAGTAATGATGTGTAGTTATCTGTCGGGACATGTGATTGGTCACATGGCACAGCCCTACCACACAGACACATGATGCACTCAGTTAAAGTGCTGCGGAGGCCAAATCACCACAGAGCAACACTGCACGTCCACTCCAGCTGAGTCACAGTGGACAGCCGAGGGAGCTGAGAAATCTCCGGTGTCATCTTCCCACCAGTGGACTGGGCAGAAATATTCCACAGCTGAAGCCACGTGATGAAGTGGCCTGTTACCACGACACAGCAACATGGCAACGGCATAAACCTGACTGAACCTCTTCTTGTATTAAGTACAGTCAGCCGAGGAGAATTTATTGGGTGGTTGCACAGAGCAGGTTCTCACACGCCCACCATGAGGGCTGTTTGCTACACTCACAGCTTCAGCCTCTTGCTATTACACTGGAGAGAGTCTGCGGGGAACCTTGTCAAGTTATGTTTTATGATGTGACTGAAAAATAATGATTAAAGCACTAATTCTGCATGGTTTTTGCATATTAAGTAAATGAAGCAATCCGATATGGAATTAGTATGCCTCAGGTGCAGCTAAGTCACGCTGCATATTTGAATTTCTTTATCCAGGTTGAGGTTATTATCAGAATTCCACATATACTTTAGATTGCTTTTGTTTTGTTATCAACTGCGTTTTTCTGCTATTTCTGTTGGTATTTGTTGACATGAGCTGCTGCATACAATTACACCCCCACCAATATAAGTCTGAGAAGTGTTTAATTAAAGTGAGCTCTAAATAAGTTATTTTAAAGACTTTACAATCAATCGTTCATTTTCTTCATTCAGTTTTTGGGCTGGAAAGAAGTTTAGAAAAGATAGAAAAAAGAATAATTTCGCAGAGCCCTTATGGTTTTTAATTCATTATTTCTTCTAATTATCATGGTGTTCTGTCTGAATCCAAAAACCCAAAAAATCTGCACAGTTTAGTAAACAAAATGACTTTTTTAAATGACTGAAACTCACTCATCAAAACAGAGGATTCATTTTTCAGTTTTGATCGAATCAATCAGTTGTTCCACTAATTATTATATTTAATGCCTCTGTTGAATAATGGAAATGATTCATAGCAGTTGCTTATGCTGACAAAACCAAAATATTCAAAAATGTATGTGAAAATCTGATGATACTTTCAATACAGTGTTTGCATGATTACAGTCTGAAGTCAGATATTTGTCTATGTCAGTTTCAATAGAGATCTTATTCAGATGATGTTCATGAAAAGGCAGCTGGTTTGATGTCTGGCTCTGACCTCTGAAGATGATGATTACCAGTGTGTTGTGCGACTGAAAGGCCACGAGGCCTGAGAGAACTAATCATTACCACACAGTTACATTTGGCCATTTATCTGATGCGATTTTCCACATTGACAATGAATACAGCAGTAGAATGAGTGATAGGGAGAAATAAGAGAGGTGGAAGCACATAAGAACACATGGTGTGTGTGTGTGCGTGCGTGTGTGTGTGTGTGCATGCATGCTTGTGCATGCAGGTTATGGTATGCAGTACAAGTTAGCCTCACATACATACTTCCAGTTTTTCAGTCTTTAGTCCTTTGGGAGAAAAAAAAAACTGTTTTCATATAGTTTTTTCAGGGAGGCACCCTTGCTTCTTAGAGAATAAAGTCCCTTATCCCCGTCTTCTCCTTTCTGTTTACTAAAGTTTTGAATGATAATGTGAGATATAAGATGCTCGAGTGGGCGTCTTAGAGGAATGAAAAAAGGATTA